GGCGTAGCTCCTCCCAGTGCTGAGTGTGGGGACCTGTTCAACAGGTATGCTGCAGTCAGCATTAACTCCCCCCACATGGACGGCGGAAAATCTCCATCCTTCAGAAGACACCGGGTGACTCCGGCCAGGGTTTGTCCGTCCCGTTCCGATACACCAATTTGTTGAGGGGTGTTGGTGGCGGCGTACTCGAGCTTGATAGCTGAATTCTTGCAGTAGTCCCGAAATTCGGATCCGGTGTTCTCGCCTCCCTTGTCGCAGCGGATGGTCTCGATCCGGTAGCCTCCTGCCGCTGCGACGCACATGTTGTACGTGTGCACCGCCTCGGTCGTGTCAGATTTCTTGCGAAGCAGGTACACTTCTTTCATCTTCGTGTAGTCGTCGGTGATCTTGCACGCGTACGGGAAGGAGCCTCCTATATATTTTGCAGGTGGATTAACAGGCCCCATGTTGTCGATGACCACAAGCTGTCCAGGCCGTGATAGTTCGCGAGTCGATTGCTTCGGGTGGGGGGACTGCTTGTGTTTCGCGATCTGGCAGACCCCGCAAGGGGAGAGACTGTCGCGATAGTCCACCCCGGTACCCGTGTCCTTCCGAAGGATGTCCAGGCTCCGAGCATTGAGATGTCCAAGCCTCCTGTGCCAGGTGTCCGCGCTCACTAGCGTAAAGCAGACGGCGTTCGCCGTGTGGGTCTGTGACTGCTTCTGGTGGGGCACGAGGGATTTCGTGCCAGATGGCTGGACGTTCTGCTCGAACGTGATGTCGAGGGTGCACATGCCTTGGTCTCGCGGATCTTGTGTGAGTGGAATCACCTTGCCTTGGATAGCGAGGTGCGGAGTGCTCTCTTCGACGACGCAGCGCAATCCCTTTTTCAGGAGGGAGGTGGGCGAAAAAATGTTGCGACCAAGTCCCGGAACGATGAGTCCCTGAATCCGCACGCGCAATTGCTGTCCTCGATTGTCCTTGACGGTGCAGTGTAGGATGCCCGTGGCCGTGCCTTTGAGTTGGCTTTCTCCGGCCACGTCCACGATCTTTGGAGAGTTTCGCTGGGTGTAATCGTGGAGGTTTCCGTCGGGGATGAGGCGATTGTCAAACATGGTCTCCGATGCTCCCGTGTCTACCAGCAGGCCTACCCCGGTGGAGCTCGCGGCGAAGTTGCGTCCTGAGATGCGGGAACACGTGCCGAACATGAAGCCGCTGTCAAAGGCGTCCTCGTCCCGGGTGAAGTCGACAACTGCCACTTCATTGTTTGAGTCGTGCTTGTTGGACGCCGACGAGCAGTGAGTGCAGTTGGAGCACGCGGTGAATGCTTTACTTGAGTCCTTGGTGTCTTCCGGGCGCTTTCCTCCTTGCTGGTAGCATTCCTCGTCCGAGTGAGACGTGGTGTTGTGCTTGGAGCACCACTTGGTAGCTCCGGCGGGCTTCGTTTTCTTCTTCGCCCTGTTCTTGATCTTGGGGCATTTCCTCCTGATGTGCCCCGGCTCGTAGCAGCTGTGGCAGATGATGTCAGACGCGGTCGTTGCCATGGCAAATCCTCGACCAGCTATGCGTCCCTTCCATCCCTTGCGCGATTGTTCATTCAAAAAGATGTTGCGTATGGTGGATTGCATGTCCAGGACGTTGAAGGTTGGGTCTCTGAACACCATCAGTTTGATGTCCTTATATTCGTTGGAGAAGCCCTGTACGCAGGTGTCCTTGAAGCGGCGGTCGGAGATGGGTTCTCCCATCTTATCCAGCTGGGTGCGAAGTAGGTGCTTCTGGTTGAAGTAGTCGTCGGGATTTTCACCAGGGTTCATGGGGTTGTTCTCCAGCTCCTCCATCTTGGCCCTGATGACCTCGTCCGTTACCCTGTCATAGTTGTTGCAGAGCTCCTCGAAGGCAGCTTGTCCGTCGCCGCTGATGCCAGTGTCGTCTTCGTGCTTCTGTATCGACTAGGCGACTGGAAGTTTCACTAGGAGGAAAAGAATGGCGTAGAGATCTTCGTTTGCCCTTGCGTAGGAGTCGAAGGCCGCTGTGTCTGCGGGATCTGGCTTCCTTTGTTTCTTCAGCAGTGGCAGGATGTCCTTCCTGGTCACACCTAACACCACGCAGAATTTCTTCAACCATGTCTTGAACTCAGCTGGGTCCTTTCCGTCGAGTTTCTTGAGGCCTTTGATCACGGTTGCCAGGTTCGTAGAACTATCGCTGGCGAAAGCGCTTCCACCTCCTGCGTTGCTCGTTGCGGTATCCATTGCTCGTTCCAGCTTTATTTTCTTCGTCTTGATAAAAGTGCTTCCTGATGTAGGAGAAAGTTTGCTCCTGGTACTACTGCCTGTACCCGAGACTTCCCCACCCCGTTCCTGCTACTGATATTGAGGACTCCGGTTGTTGATCGCCTCCACTGATGATACAGTGTAGTTCCTTGTACACCCGATGCGAATGACGCTCGAGACTCCCGCGCACGTGACCCTTGCTGCTAGTTCACCACAGAGATACCCACTACTACCGCAGGGGTGGTAACGTGTGTATACGACCTCAGCACCTTGGTGTAGATGACCAAGTTTGCGCGTTTGCTTGTGTTGCCGTTGACCGATGACGGCGTCGCAATCTCCAGAAATCTCCGAAACCAGGTTCTCTCGTTGTCCACGGATGAAGGTTGATGTCCCGAAAAGAGTTTGCCTTGATGTTCCCGTGATGTTCGCAGCTCGTAGTCTGTGCCTTAGCCGAGGCTCATAACCTGTCAGAGTATATTTCGCTGTGCACTAGCAGCAGTACAATGCTGCAGATGCCGGTAGGCTGTGTGGCCTGCCTCAGAGGCTNACCAGGTTCTCTCGTTGTCCACGGATGAAGGTTGATGTCCCGAAAAGAGTTTGCCTTGATGTTCCCGTGATGTTCGCAGCTCGTAGTCTGTGCCTTAGCCGAGGCTCATAACCTGTCAGAGTATATTTCGCTGTGCACTAGCAGCAGTACAATGCTGCAGATGCCGGTAGGCTGTGTGGCCTGCCTCAGAGGCTTACACTCTGTGCGGCTCCAACCGCGAGAGACTTGGAATAGAAATATGAAGATGTTTTTATTAATCGCTGACTCCCGAGTCAGATGTTGCTGGTACTGAAGGGGAGTGAGGGTGGTGGGCGAGCTTAGGGCTGCACCACTCTTGTCGAATACCGGACAAATAAGACAATCACACGAATGATCCAGAATGCTTCCAGAATGATTTCTGGAGGCCCTCCTACGTTCTAGAAGAGTATCAACTGCAACCTAGATCTAGAACGCTTCCAGAAGCTTACAGAAGGAACCAGAAGTTTCCAGAAGGCTTCCAGAAGCTACACACGTTCTACGTAGATGTCCCGGTCAACCTTGACCTAGCATGCTTCCGGAATATTTCTAGAACAAGAGAATACATGCCACGGAGCGATGGATTCTTTTCTACTGCTACGCAGACTAGTTGCTGCTGCAATCGTATTCAAAGGTCAAACCGTGTCCGACTACTGGTGGTCTCGACGCACGATTTTCCTGACAAAGCTCGCCCGGGGGTCTACGTCAATTGTACTACCGCCGTGCATGAAATGTGCCCCCTTTCAATAGTATTTTATTGTATGGACTCGATTTTTCATGGAAATTGCATGACGTTGGGGGGGGGGCATACTCATATGTTTTGGATACCTTAGCGGTTAGACCATTGACCACACGTCCTCGAGAGGACGAGGCACTGTGTTCCCACAGGACCGATTGTTTGGGTGCGGTAGCTCGTCAGAGGCCGAAAGAGAAAGAAGGTTGACTCAAGACCTTGTTGCTTAGAGAGTGAGAGACATGCGGTAGGCCACACCATCGCCATGCAGCATGTCCGTCAATACATTCCATCCGCGTACCCCCCGGAGGCCCCGTAGACAGTATACTCTGCCGAGCACCCCAAACAGCCCCCCTGCTCGGTACGAGATACGATCCACGAAATCCCCGACACGACTATCATTACCAGACAATACGGCAGACAGAAAAACCAAAACCCCTATGCTAACAATAAATCATCCACCATTCCAATCCAAATTTCTCTGCCAATAGAACATGTCCCACGAAATCGCCGGATCTTCCAACAGAACCCGTCCTGCAAAGCTTTCAAACCTTTTTGATGTCAAATTTCTACCCCTAAAAGGTCTGTCAAGAAAAACAAATCACCCTCTCGAGAAAAGTGCTCTACCCAATTCTCAAGCAGTCAAAACACGAACAATCACCCTTGGAAAAATACCCAGCAAAAAGATCAACATTACATCAGAATCACGTCAGACCGGGGAGGACGGGTAACTCCGGGAAAGCGTGTCTTACGTCCTGACTACTCAGAAATTGGACGGCCGATGTATCCGCGGTGGTGTACGCGAACTCCGGACCGAGGGCACCAGCAGCAGTGACGACGTTGAGGTGGGGGGGGCGGTTGCTCTTGGCACAGTTGCGCCACATGTGACCGTACTGGCCGCATGCACCGCACGTGCCCTCGAACCTGCGGGGGGCGGCGCAATCTATGGCGTGGTGACCGTGCCTTCCACAGCGGCCGCATCTGTGCACTGTGCCCATCGGCGCGCCAGGTGGAGGTAGTGATTCCGGCTGATGATACACGGCATTACTACCGCAATCGTAGATGCCATCAACATCGTTCAAAGCGGGCTGTTGCTGCTGCCGCTGCTGCTGCGGCTGCTGCTGCGACTGCCGGTACGGCTGCATCTGCGACTGCTGTTGGTACGGCTGCTGCTGTCGCATCTGCTGCTGCGGCTGTGGGTACGACTGTTGCACCTGCCGCTGCGGCTGTTGCGGCTGCCGGTACTGCTGCACCTGCAACTGCGGCTGTTGCTGTTGGACAACACCGCCCCCAGAGGACCAGTGTTGCCCGCGGCCGTCGCCGTTGTTGCCATTCCGCCGTTGGCCTCCGCCCCCCCCGCTCCCCCCGTTGCCGCCGTGTCCAAAACCACGGCCCACAACAAGAGCATGGGGGTTGACAGAAACCGCCGGCGTCGAAGCTGCCGACCCTCGCTCCCTCATCTCGCTGGCCTTGAGCGTGGCATATCGACCACGCACGACGTCCTGCAACTCAGCGCGGGTTAAATCACGCTTGGAAAGACTAGTGCGCTTCTCGACATCGTAGCGTGCGGGGAGTTGGCGCACAAGGATCTGCACAACTTCCTGGTCACTCTTAGCAATGCCCACAGCCCGTAACTTGGTCTCCAGTTGTGCGACGCGCGAGAAGAAAAGCTTGGGGTTCTCATCATCACTCATGGTTATATTATCTAGCTCGGCGACGAGGAGCTGACAATCAGCTGGGTGGTTCGGCAAATACCAATCCTCCATCATCCTCCACGCCTCTGCCACGGAATGGCAAGAGTACAGGTTGTTCTCAAATGGGGCCCCCACCGCTGCCTCCAAGATAAAACTCCATGTCCTCTTGTGCTCAACAACCAGCTGTGCACCATACTGGCGTGTCAAGTATCCTTCATCCTGACAACTGACAACGGGAACCTCAGCACTGCCGAAGATTGTGTGCTGGAGATTGTGGTTGTCCACGTAGGCCAGAAAGCGTCTCCGCCAACTGAGAAAAGTGTCGGCGGTGCAATTAGGCGGGATTCTAGGCACAGGAGTTCTGACAATTGTACCTCCCAGAGGCAAACCCGGCACCCTAGTACCGCCATCATGACTCACCCCGCGTGGCCACATTGGCCTCACCGGTGCGGATGAAGCCCCTCCAGGAGCAACTAGACCGTCGCCTCCTGAGCTGCTGCCGGCAGGTGCACCCGCAGACCGCCGCTGTGCTGCCCTAAGCTCCTCCGTCTCAGCTTTGGCCTCCTTCGTCTCAGCCTTGGCCTCCTCTATAGCTCGTAGCGCCTCATCCAACCTCGCGCTCAGAGTTGCGTCCTCCTCCGTTCCAGACATATCAAACTAAAACTCTAAACCCTCCCTGCTGTCCCAGCCTTGAAGTGCTGTCCCAGCTATAAACCCTGCTGTCCCGGTCCCCGCAATGGCCACCGCACCAGCTATGCACTGCTGTCCTCGCCCCCTTTGGCCGCGATCCCAGCTATGAAAATGGTGTCCGCTGCCCCGATGGCCCAGCTCCCACCGCTCAGACGCCAATACCCACTACCAACACCAGGCCTTACAATATATTGTGTTTGGGTGCGGTAGCTCGTCAGAGGCCGAAAGAGAAAGAAGGTTGACTCAAGACCTTGTTGCTTTGAGTGTGAGAGACATGCGGTAGGCCACACCATCGCCATGCAGCATGTCCGTCAATACATTCCATCTGCGTACCCCCCAGAGGCCCCGTAGGACAGTATACTCTGCCGAGCACCTCAAACACGATCACCGATGGTCAATCGTTTCTTCCTACTTTTCTTGCTAATAGTGTGCGTGTTCGATAGATCTTCTGATGGCTCTAGCATATTTGTGACCACGGACCGAGTCTTTGCTAGATTTTGGGATTAGCAAGTGACCCGAGTTTAATATGAAGAAAACACACACACTTTGCCAAAGGTGGCTCAAAAATGTCTTCCCTAATCCATCTATCCTATCGACGTCACTTCTCGCCTATTCAACCCACCCAGTACAGCTACCGTCTTCTCCTGGCTATTCCATGCCTCAATCATCTCCCTGTATCTCCCCTCTACTTTTCGCAGCTCAGTCATGTCCACCTTCCTCTACGTCTTGTTCAACGAGCATTCCGCTACTACATGAACAAGGTTTCCGCACTCGGAGCCGCAATCACATTTTAACTTTTCGTCTTAATCTTCTCCTTCCTAAATGTTCGTCTACGTTCTCGAAGGCCGATGTCCCCGGTTCTGAATTTGACGTTAAGCTCTATCCCGGCGTCCATTGGTCTATGTAGGTAATCCTTGAACCCTATTCCTGTTCGTGTGTTTGGATACGGACAGGTATTGATCGACCGCAGTAATGAATATACTTGAAGTATTCGCAGATAGGAACGTAGACATACCATTTTGGGGTTCTTGTGTTTGTGACCCCTGCTTCTCTGTTTTCCGGAAGCACTCTTCTTCTTCTCTTCGCTTGCTTCTGCGATTCTAATACAAGCGATATTCAGTCTCTCCCTTCCAAGTCGCGGACATATACAACANCATGGCCAACTCGGAAAATTGCTCTCTCTGTGGGGCTATCAAACCGAGCCCGAGGTAGACACCGCCTGTGCCGTTATTATTGTTCCTGGCGAAGCGAAAGCCGCCACCCCCACTGACCTCAACGAATTCCACAACTCGCACGGCCACGCTCACGAGAGGTTGCTGAGGCTCACGGCGAAGCAGCAGGGAGTGGAGCTGACGGGAGGGCCGCTCCTGAGCTGCACCGGCTGCTCTATGGCTAAGGGGCAGGTGAAAGCCGTTCAGAGATTCACGGACACACGCGCAGTTAAGAAACTGTTTCGAGTTTTTATCGACCTGGGGGGGCGGATGCAGTTCCATAGCATCGGGGGCAGATGGTACACCCTCATCATCAGATGCGATGCCACCCGTTGGACGCGCGTGTTTTTTCTGAAACGCAAGTCTGAAGCAGCCGACGCACTCGAGCAATTTATCGCGGATTACCGGTCGGAGGGTACTCCGTGTGAGGTGTACGTTGTGCGTTCAGACAACGAATTCCAGGGGCAGTTTTCGAAGACTTGCCGGAAGTGGGGTATCAAGCAAGAGAAGACCCCCCCGCACACCCCCAAGTACAACGGTGTTGCGGAAAGATGGCTAGGCATCATTAGTGATGCCGCACTAGCGTCACGCATTCAAGCTAAGGAGATGTTCCCTGACGCGCCAACTGACCCGGCCTTGTGGGCTGAGGCGATCGCATGTGCATGCCATCAACTGAACTGCACCGCCACCACCGCCAACCCCGGGGACAAATCTCCGTATGAGATGTTCCACGGGAAACCGCCCCCGGCCGGGTCGGTGTACCCGTTCCT